AGGTCTAAGAGTTTGGTAAGAGTCCATATACAAACGGACTAGGATTAGAATTCCACCTTCTTCTTTCCTTCTAGAGTCCATATGTTTTACGACCTATCCTCCATCTCCCTGCACTGCCTTCTAGCGTGGAGGCATGCAAAGAAACAGAGCTCCAGAGGATCTCCCACGTTGATATGACGGTGATTTGATCCAATGACAATCAAGAAACATCACATGGATCCATGGGCCCACTTGATCACTTCCTCTCCACTATAATAGAGGGGTATCCCCTCACTCTCAACACAAACCACAAGGATCAAGCCTCTCCACTTTCTTAAGACGTATGGTTTTGGTTACAAATTAAAGCTATGGGTTATCTATATATCTAGCTGATCCTCTGATGCACGATTTCATCTCATCAATATGTAGTGTAGCCACAACACCTGCTTTGGTATAATTAGTTTTGTACAACGCACAGATTACCACAGCTAATGTAAAAATAAAACAAGGGCTAGCTAGATTTGTTTCAGAAAATAGTACATCGATATTAGAATCATTTCAAAATCCAATCAGAGAATTATATAGGAATACATAGGATCCATAAGGGAGAGGCCAACAAATCCGGTTCAATTCATATGCAGAACTGATAATAGTGATAATCAAATCGACATACACACAAAAAAATGAACTCCATTTACTAACAAACTATGAGTGTGCTATCCAAATTAAACTGTTACAAGCTAAACAATAACGAACACTGCAAGTAACGACTAATCTTCAGTTAATACTGTGTCATCCAATCCAAATGTCAGATGACAACTAAACTTGTGTCCTTTATATATCTTCGTGCCACCTTCCTTCACGGGGAACTCCCAAATGCTTTGAGTGCTAGTGTCTTAAAGCATGGTCCCAGCAATACCTCCAGGCGGCTTGCAGTGACACAGAACTTCAAATCAAACCCACTGTCGATATACAACTCTTTGTCAATGATATGATACACCCCTGCTCTTACCTAGGCCAAAACCTGTAGTGTAGATCCCCAAAGACAAAGCCTACAGCTTTGCTGTCCATGTTGAAGACAGGACCAGATGTAAGCCTGCGGACCCTGTTGGGAGAGCAATTCCCGTACCGGCATGCAAAGATGAAAAGTCCGCCCAACGAGGAAGGATAGTCCCAGGCACATCACCACCGGCTGCAAGCGACCTCTGAATTATGAAGTCAGGAATGTTGTAGGCAGAGCAAGCGGTGGCAGGCGCCAAGGTAGCTGTATAGGTGTGGTTAGCTTTGCCTCAAAATAGCTGCATAGGCTTGCACTTGGGATGGAAGTCGGTCCTCAGTGTGTAGATGGGGTCCTCCGGCGAGTCGGAGATAGCTAGGGCTTCTGCCGGCTGTCTATGGCCATCAGAGAAATGCATCGCCACAGCAGCAGGCTGTGGCAATGTGACTCCAGAATGCTTGACTGGGTGAGTATGAGTGTGTCATCATCTTCTTCGTTCTGAACAACTGAGCCAACACAAAAGTAATCAAACCTTCCGACCTGCTCGACCAAAATGACTCCTGGACAGACGTCTCGGAACAGGCCACGGTAGGTGGTCTCTATTGGATCTTCCTCCTATATAGATATTTCAAAATAGAGACATCATAACAGGAACAACCACCGGATACAATACAATACAGGTAGCATGTACAACAGACCTCAGAGAGAGAGTCAGCAGCAACGAACAACAACACTGCAGTACCATGGAACCACATAATAAAAAAGATGCCCATACTATACTACTAGGTACTAGTAAAAACAGCGCCAAGGACAACATATCAGTGTAGCTGTGAATTATGATGATGACTAGATGCCGCTCCTCAATCACTAGCACTCGCCATTAACTGGGCTGCTAGATGGGCTCAGCGTGGAAGCCCTAATTTTGGGCCCGCCTTGGTGAATTAGGCTAGGCAGGCCTCATATGCAAAGACGGCCCATAGACGCACCCCAACCAAAACTAAACTCCGGCAGTGGCTGGACTACAGACTGGAGTGCGGGTCAAAACGCAAGGCCATGCTAAGGCCCCAATTCCACTTCCTCGGTCATTCGTGCGATTCGACCCCGACGAATGAGAGACCATGCCATGTCTGCGCGGACTCATTACTTTCCTTTTCTGTCCTGTTCTCCTTTCCTTTTACATTTCGGCTAGTGGGTCAAGTCGGTCCACATACAGGCACCTAAAATTTCGTTCTCAAATATTTCCCCATCCCCCCAAAAAAACCCTTTTACTCAACGTGAGACCTCGAAGCGGGTGATTTCAACAGTGCCGCTTCATCTTCTTGCCCATCGCTCTCCTCTTCATGGTGACCTTTTTGGATTCGATTCAAGGGTGCCTGGCGCTGGGGATTCTCCGGGATTCGTTGTGGGGTATCCGTGAGTTATCTTCTCTCTCGTTTCGCTGTGGTTGCCCATAATCGGGGGATTCGAGTTGAGGTCACAACGAGTAGCGTTAGGTCTCTTCTTCCTAAATCCACCGCTATCGCCACCGCAGTCGGTCGTTGCTGTCGTCGACGCTATTAAAAATTCGTTCCTCTAGAAGTTTCGGTTTGACCATTCAGTTCCCTTTCTATGTTGTAAAAGGCAAACCTCAATCTTTGTTTTTTTACCAATTGCAAGCATGGCTATGCACATTAAGCAGGGCAGAGAAGGCCTGGCATAGGATGTAGTTCATCTCAATTAGGCATAGTGGCCACACTGAGCGTGCAGTTTAGGCATGTGCATTGTTCACATTGTTATAGTGTACTGTGTAATGTAAGCGTCATTTCTTTCAAAAGCAAGTACAAATCTTCTCAATTGAAATGTAGTTTAGATAGATATGACCGGTATAAACCATATTTCACAGTCAAAACCTACATAGATAAGTTTCCATTGATTTTTTTATCATTTATATGTCTGTTATAACTTTGTTATTATTTACATGCAGACTGCCTACTTTGATTATATGGTTACGGAGAACTATATTGTTCCACAAACAATACCTCGTATTGCTGCTTGGACTGATAAGTTGGTTCATCAGTATATTGAACTTAAACCAGAGTTTAAAAAGATGGAGGTAATGTTATATTGCAAATGTAGAAATGGTTAAAAGATGACCAAAATCTACCTTTTTCGCTTTATTAGACTTCTTATCCTGTGAAGGACCTACAACAATATTTTGCTGCATAACAAGGTGACTCATTGGAAGCATCAGAATAGAAACCTCTTGTAGTTTTATATTCAAATGAGTCCTTCCGAAAAGAGTACAGTCAACTTTTTTAATCTATAAAATCAACAATACATAATTAAACACCATAAATGTCTCATACAAAACTAAAGAAAAGGAAACTTCGACGTCAATCATTTCCGAGATGGAAGAATGAGGCTTTCATGAAGCATATGAAAGGGGAATCTTTTTGCTCTTTTCATTCAGATTTTTAAATGCAAGGAAGAAATAAAAGTGCAAGGGATAAGAATACTTACCCTTGGGGGCTCAAGCTTGTTCTTTTCAATGCTCTTGTGTTACCATGGTGCCACCTAGTGTTGTTGCATTGATTTCGCTCTAATCTTGCTTCTTGTCATTCTACTTGCACCTTGGTGTCATATGATGGTTCTCCAATAAGATGTTCTTCATACATCTTGATGAACCTCCAATTGTCGCTTGTCGCATCTTCTTGAGTATGTCGTGCTTCTTGCAACAAGAGAGAACAAAACACAACTCGGATGCAAAAGATTAACGTCAGCGGTAGTGTCCAAGTTAGATGTTCTTGTGGAGCGTAGTTACCACCACACACCATAGTTGTGGGTTGTTAGAAACCTCCGCAAACAATCTTGGCAAACTCACGAGAGATCAAAACAAGCTTGGCAAAGGAAAACTAGAAAATGCAAATATTATTGTTCTTTTCCTTTTATAAACTTGAGAGAAACTAGCGCCAAAACTTGACAAAGAAAGGCTCAAGAGCAAGAGAAATTCTGATGAGCTGGTGCAAGGAAAATGAAATATCAAGCATGCTATTTTATAGTCACAAGGGGAGATGTGCTGGAGGTGTCATAGGGGGTCGACTGCCCCCCCCCCCCTCTCCCTTCTTTCTCCCACAAACTCAAATGCAAAACCACCTTTGATGCTAGACAAAGTCACATGGATAAAGTATGACATGAAGTGGCCAAATTAGGGGGTTGACCGACCTAGGTGCCACCGCCTATCACTTCCAACTTTGCACCATGTTCCTTACATCAGCTTTGTGTCACATAAATGCAAGTGGTGCATTGAGTGGATTGGGGGGGGGGGTCCATTTCACCAAAAATTATCAAAGGTTTTGTGAGCTTTTCTCAAAGGTTTATGCTGAAAGGGAAGTTAGGTTCTTGGAAATTCAAATGTGAACGGCGACCCCCTCCATTTCACCAAAAATTATCTAAGGTTTTGTGAGCTTTTCTCAAAGGTTTATGCTGAAAGGGAAGTTAGGTTCTTGGAAATTCAAATGTGAAAATCTCAAAACAAAAATTGTTCCAACTCATCAAAGGTTATATGAATTAGGCAAGCATTCCTGGTATGAAATGTTCTAGGGCATGGTTCCTGTGGAACCGAACGATGCCTTAGTCGTCTTGAAACGTTTAGCTTGCATTGATGTAAGGTGGTCGCGCCTAAGCAAAAGGGCCCGTAACCTAGTGGTTATAAGAACATCAGTAGCACCTCAGGTCTTGGGTTCGGCTCTACGTGGGAGTGAATATTTCAAGATTTATCGACATTGTGCATTCAGTGGTAGGTGACGTTCCCGTCGATAACGAGGTGTCTATGGTGACTTCGTCAATCTCAAGAATTTGCCAGCTCAATCTTCAAAGATGCTCATACGTGTAGGATTTGCATGCGAAAAAAAAGCAGTTGTGCCTAAAATTCAATCTTGTTAAACGTTTTGCTGATATAAAGGTGGAAACCTTTTCTTAAAAGAAAGAGAGTTCCCTAGAAAACCGTTCTTTCCTGATCGCAAAAGCAGTGCAAAAAATTGCCAGATTACAATTTTCTCAGTATCGCGCACCTCTTCTTCAGAAAATAGTAGGATTGTGCAGTTTCACTTTGGTTGAAAGTTGAAACGAACAGCACCACAAAATTCAGGCTACAAACAGAAACAAACATGCAATCCTGATCGTAGTGCTAATTCTGAAGTGGGGGGCTCCAATCCCAGCCGGTGCCCGCGATTCTGCTACCGGATGCTAACAACGAGGTTCCTGTCCACGAATTTGGCACCTCCGACCTTTCCCTGCATTGTAGGTGGCAATTTTATGACGCGCCTCTGATCTCCAGCTTCGATCAACAGTTCTGATCCACCTCTATACTGCATTTTTCAGACAAAACAACAGACCAATAACTCAGCGTCTGCAGGAATAATCATAACCAATTAAACTCAATGGCTATTAGCCCTGTCCCTTAATTGCTTTCAATAAAAGCAGAGATCTTCTATTTAAAAAAAAAACTATTAGACTGTTCAACATGCCCTCTGCAGAACATATCGAAAACCAAATATTATAATTAACAGTGGGCCAAACCGGCCCATAATATTGGAATAGTATGCTAGTTTACTTCAGACGACTAGCATGCAAATACAGATAGGATGCGTTAGTCTGTTTAAGACCATACTGGCTCATGCAAAGGGGAATACAGATTTGCACATGCCACTTGCAATTGAACTTTTGTATAGTATGTAAAGACAGGCAGATAGTGGATTTTTTTTTAAATGAACCGAGCAGAACTTGTTTGGGACTTAAAGGCTTTGATGTTGTTGTTGTTGAACCGAGCAGAAGAGCTGCTGATTGTATTAATAAAGAAGAAGACCTAGACTGGGCTTACAACGGTACCATAGAAAGCAACACATTGCGACTAAGACAACTCAGCCAACAACATGCCGCCGACAACATGTGCAAACAACAACAAAGACAACCATATCAACATCAACCCCTATGACCCATTAAGAAGAGGCAAAGTGACCTCCACCACAAGGTCCCAGAAGGCATGACCATTTAAACCCATCAGTGGCTTGAGAAGGTCCGGCGGCAAGACCCATTACGCCACTTAATGAATAGTACTCAGTACTCACTAAAATGATGTTGATATAAGCAAGATCAGCAGCATTGCTAATGAAACCGCATGGAGACAATATGAATGTAGCAAATGTGGCTGGTCGTGTGGTCTCATCTAAATATTATTCAGGAAGTTCAGATCCCAAATCTTCTTGTCTTGTCTGTTGTTTTTATGGTTCTGCATTTGCTGTTACAAAAGGCTCGAGTGAAGACTAAAACTTTACATCAAGAAAGCATGATTTCTGGATAATTAAAACTACTAGAATTTTTATGGTTACACAACATATACAATAGAGAGAGAGATCAATCGTCTTACTTGATATAGCTTGATTTCAGACTTATCAAAACCTGGCATGAAAAGGGTTACAGATTTCTGAACAGAATCAAAACTGACTGAAGGATACACCAAGGTGGACGTATTCCTCAGCTGTTCCTTTGCATTTTGGCTCAATGAGCTTAGTGCTCTGCTCCAATCTGCAGAAGAATCATTTGGGAGAAATGGCAGAAACGACAAAGACAACGGCAAGAACTTTTGAGCAACTTCTTGGTGCATTTCAGAAGGGTCTTCAGTATATCCAAATGCCCCACATATTTGACCGCCAGCTTGAGTGGTACAACCCCAGTATCGTAATGCAGAGGATACAGAGATTGATCTCCTAGGATCCATGATAAGGAAGCATGCAAGTTTTGAAGGATTGGCAAACCATACTGAGACTTTCTACAGAATTTAGCAACTTTTTAAGTAATATAAAAAATTAAATCCATTGTGTTTTAGCTAAATTAAATCAGGAAAATCTACCTCAAGTAGTTGTTCGATTTCATTCCATATCTCTGTACTAAGTCTCCCCTCACTAGTTTTGCCACTTGGCCTTGCAGAATCATATACTAGTTTCAGTAATGAAGGAGAAGCAAGTCTTCCCATGTCAGTCTTCTCAGCTAGGTCCCTCACATACCTCAAGTAAGACCTGTCTTTTGTAGAGCATAAAATTAAATTTTAGAATCCAGCCTTTTAAGGGAATATTCAGAATCCTGATTGAAGTCAAGGTTATGGCCAAGCAAGGAGAACATATACCTTGCTCGATCAGTAGCACCTATCAGCCGCAGAATTTCCTCCGTATTGTTGCAATCATACACGATCACATCAAATTCTGGTTGTGAATTACTCCTTCCAGCTGAAAAGAAGTGAAGGAGCTTCTGAAGAGCTAAGACTGAACAGATTGAATCCATTCCAGGTAAAACTCCAAGTTCCTCTCCTACAATCTGTCACAAGGAAAACAGCGACCAAAATGAATGCTTTATCCTCACCAGACATGTTATAGCAAAGTAATCACCTACCCCTTCAAGGATTCCTTGAGTAAAATTGACCTGGGCGTCAACCTTCTTCATCCGGTCCAGGGGTTCAAGCAGCAACTATGATTCAACAAGAAAACAGTCTTCAATATCAAGACATATTCCAGAATATCACAAGTTCAAATCCTGAACATAAGTGATTTCTTTCAACAAAGTATTTTACCTTACTAGTCTCCAGCTTCATGGCCGAGAGATTGGCCGCACACTCGGTCAGAGAATTCCCAATTTTACTGCCCATCAATTGCTCCGCGGTAGGATCTTGGGACTGAACAACCAGGCATGTCTTGAAGCCTTCACTTGCATAATACTACAACATGAGAAAGAACAAAACAGAGGCAATTTGTTCATGACCAACATACTGGATGATTCATACATTACAACAGACCAGAACCACTCTCTAAGGCTTGTAATTTTACAATAGATATACTCAGCTCAAAGCTGTTACCCACAGCATCATTGCTGTTCTCCAGAGCAACATTGCAGACTTGCAGTCTAGTTTTTTAGCAAGTCATCGATGCATCAGCGAGCTCACACCAAAACTAAGATTTGTCATCAAAATAATGACAAATACGATCAAGGGATAGAGTCATAGAGCAAATTTGTCACCTGAGCGGCGATGGTGGCCGCGGTAGTCTTGCCGGAGCCGCCCTTGCCGAGGAAGGTCACCAGCTTCGGCGGCGGACCGGCGCCACCGGAACTGGCGACGACCACACGCTGCCTGCGACCTCTCCGGTGGGCCACAGCGTGGGCATGCCTCGCCGAGACGACCAAGGACGGCGCCATCCGCCGCCGACGCGGCTTTGCCTCGCGATTTGGTCGGGATTTCGGAGGTTCCTGCTCGGACAGTCGACTCGACTCCTTATTGAGAGGATAGATAGGGGTCAGCCGGTCAAGGACATAGAGATAACAAAACCCCCCCATCCCTGACCTGCAGCCTCTCCCCCTCTCCCGAATCCCACCCATCACGCGAGTTCCCCGCCGCGATGTCCGATCACCGGGCGAAGCGGCCGTCCGACGGCGCAGCCACGGTGGCATCGCCGGCGGCGAAGCGCGCCCGTGACCCGTCCGCGCCGGCGTTACCCACGAACAAGGAAGCTCCCGACATGCCCCCCAAGATTCGCATCTTCTGCGAAATCCTGGCCTCCCGCGCCGACGACGCGAAACTGATAGCCGAGCTCGACATGGCCGACATCCGCGTAACCACCGCTGACGTCGAGCAGGTGCTCCGCTTCTCCTACGCGCACCCGCGCGCCGCCGCCACCTTCTTTCGCTGGGCGGGATACAAGCACCTCGGCCACGAGCACTCCCCCTACTCGTGGAACCTCCTCGTCGACATGCTCGGTCAAAATCTCCTCTTCGAGCCCATGTGGGACACCGTCAAATCCATGCACTCGCAGCGGCTGCTCTCGCTCGCCACTTTCGCCTCCATATTCTCCTCCCTGGCGGCGACCCCCGGCGGTTCCCCGCTCAAGGCGTTCATGGACATGCCGCGCTACGGCATGATCCGCGACACGCCAGCGCTCAACTCGCTCCTCTCCGCGCTCTGTCGTGCCAACCGCCTCGACGACGCCCGCGCCGCGATCCCAGTAGCCCGCGCCGAGGCCGGCACGCCCTCGGATGCCGACTCCTACGCCATCCTCCTCGAGGGCTGCGAGGCTGCCGCCGACCCGCGGGTTGCGCGCGAGGTGTTCGACGAAATGGTGCAAGCCATTGGCTTTGTTCCTGACAACGTGCCTGCCTATGACTCCTTCCTCACTACCCTTGTTTCAAGCGACTCCTCCACGGCGCTACCAGAAGCAATGCAGTACCTGCTTGTCTTAAGCAGGCGCAGCTGTTCGCCAGGAGAGAAGTTCTTCCGTGCTGCTCTCACTGCACACCTTAAGGCACGACAATTGCTCGGTGCCATGGACCTCTGGGATGACTTTGTTGGGCGTCGAGGACTTGTCCCAGATATGGAAATGTATAACACAATGATCATGCTGCAGGGCAGTCTTGGGCAGGCTGAGGTGATAGTGAATTATCTCGACGATATGATCTCCAATGGAGTGTTCCCTGATACCAACACATACAATGTGGTCCTCCAGCTTTTGCTGAAGGGAAGGAAGCTCCGAGAGGCAGCTGCAATATTTAGTGAGATGGTCAAGAACGAATGTTGGCCAAACGAGGAAAATTGTTCACTTGCACTTCGCATGTTTTTGGATACACGCTATTGGGAGACTGGGATCAAAGTCTGGAGCTGCATGGTGGAGAATGGCTTGCCGCCTTTAGAGGAGTGTGGTAACATGCTTGTATCAAAGCTGAAGGATGACAGGCTACCTGAGGCATGCAAATATGCAGAAGACATGATTGATCGGGGTATCAAGTTGAGTTCATCGACACTGTCCAAGCTGAAGCAGTGCCTGCAGAAGATTAAGAAAGGAGAGATCCATGATCACCTACTTAGAAAATGGAAGGCACATTAGTTTGTTGAGCTCCCTTGTATGCGTAGCCTGATTAAAGACGGGTGGGAATGGGATCTTATCTTAGTGTTGACACTGAGGTTCAACTTTTTATCACTCTGTAACGTTTCAAACAACAGTTGGAAGTCCCTTTCTACATGGAAATTATCATATTAATGAGTTGGAGCATTTGGGTCTCAAGGAATGAACAGATCTTCCAAGGAATTCTACCGTCTATATCTAATTGCTGGGCCTTTTTCAAGAAAGAGTTTGCTCTGGTTACCCATAGAGCAAAGAAGAAATATTTCCCTTTTATAGAAGAATGGCTAGAGCGCCGATTGTAATCTTTTTAATATTCTTTGTATCCTTTTTTGCTTCCTGTTAAATTTTGTTGCTTGCACATTTCTTTTTTCTTCTATTATTAATATATTTTAACCAGTAGGGGGTACCCCTCCTGTTTGTGGGAGCTTGTCTTAGCTGTCTGGTTGCAATTTAGGTAGCTGTTCCTTTGATGTATTTGCAGAACTATCAATGCAACAGTCTAGGCGTAAAAGTACATTGTAACATTACCAGGTGAAAATCGTTTGGTATCTTGACATTTTAAGCTCCCAGCATGTCTTCGGTCTTCCGTTTGGTATGGTTTCGGAGAGTTTCAGTTCTCTCTTTTCCTCGTTATGACGCAGTTTGATTATTGAAAATTTGTAATGGTTGTTCCGTTATTGCATTTGGGGTCAGAGTGAGTAATGCAAAGTTTAATCTATATAAGTCAAGCTCTTCTCTATAAAATGCATTAAACATCCCACATACAGTAGGTTGCACTTCACCACAACTCAGGCCACATGCATGCACATGAGAGAGGAAAGCCAGGTATCATTGTTGTTATTTTTTGGTTTAAGTGGGCCCTGCGTGATGCCTGCCTATTGTAGCTTGTCTCGATGCTGAGTTCCTGGCTTCCTGCTTTTGGTTTTGGACATCGATGCACACACTGTGGTTAGTCTTATGGAAGAAAAGGAAAGACAACCCATCTGGGCTAGGGCTCCTTCTGGGTAGCTGCTTAACACCGCCTCATTGATTTCTTCTTCTGATAATTCAGCTGTGAGCAGCATGTTCTCCTTCCTCATCTTCCTTCCAAAAACCATCTTTCAAAGACAGCTCCTCTCTCCTCCGGTCCTCCCGCTTAAGAAGATCCTTATCAAATTCCATCGCCACTTTCAACATAACTTTTTGGTCCTCAACTAGGCAGAGTATGGTCCTTCTAGAACAAAAATGAATTTTTTCTATGCCTATGGTCGCCACGGTCTGAAATATATGTTGTATCCTGATCCTCTTCCAATATGTTACGGCCCTAGTGCCTTGGTGCCTGAAATATAGAGCATGTCGAGCTTTCATTTGCTCTGGTGCCCTGAACATTTCAAGCTCCTTAGCAATTCCAACCATCCTCTCTTTCTTGCTACAAGACAAAGTCCTACTCTCCGCAGCAATGTATAACTTTGTTGAGTTTCTAAGAATTACGCGTTTATGTCTATTTGGGGCTGCCACTACGTTGGTTGTCAATCTCCGAACCACTCTGTCATGGCACCTTTTCATAGGTTGCTTTAGGTCTGCCATGCTTTTTTCACAATTTCTCTAAACCCCTCCCTCTCTCGGTGGCGGTTCTAAGATTTCAATCATAGGATATGGTCCTAAGTGATGCAATTCGTTAACAATGCAATACAACAATGATGTAATATGAATGATGATAAAATGGTCAGGTGTGTTATCTATTAATACGATTTGTTAACATTCATGTGCAAGTGTACAAAGGTTGTCATCGCCAAGATGTTGATAAGCATATTAGTTTTCTTGCTTCTTCGTTATCTTTATTGAATTGATTCAGCGTGGATGAAGAAATCTTTTATGCCTTATTGAGCAATCATAAAAGAAGGTAGGTCATTGCTCCTTTTAATGTTGTGACGTTCTACAAAAGTAAAATTTATTGCCACCCTCTGACCCAAATTATAGGCCATTTTGGCTTTTCTAGGTACATAGCTTTTGAAATGCATCTAGTAGATATATAATATGTCTAGATGCATAATAAAAGTTGTGTATCTAGAAAAGCTAAAACGTTCTATAAATTGGAACAGACAAAGCAATTATTAAGTAATTTATGGATAATTTTTTCTTCTAAAAATGATTATTAAACAAGATCAAGACTCGAACTTCACAATTGATACTATCATGATTGTTTGGAAGGAAAAAAAAAGAGTCAACTTTATATATTTATTACCTTACCTAACTCGTTCTATCATTTCTTATCTTGTGCTATGTGCTTTCGTTCATTGGCCTTAGAAGAACTATAGGTAATTTTCTCGTTCGGATGAGCACTTGAGCTTAAGAGGTTGCTATTTAATAAGTGTTCTAGATATATAATATATTATAGGTATATATACACTTAGTATTTCTAAAAAAATTTAGAGGTACAACTGTACTCATACACCATACTACATCCATCCATCCCGTCTCTAGCTACCACTTTTCAAATCTATAAACCGCTTCTTGCCTCTAAATGCTAGCAAGTGGGTAGGTAGCCCCACTCACCAGTGTAAACTCTATCAAATCTAGTTTGGCCAAACACAGAAAGTTTACTATTTGCCATGTTTAGGAGTGGGTTTAGTTTTACCACTTTTGATATTGGCCTCACAAATTTGCCACGTAGCACATGAACATCTTCTTTTCCATGTCATACTTTAGCTTCTTTGCTTTTTTTCATTTTTCTAATTTCTGGCACTAGAAAAGGCAATCATGCCCCTAGACATAACTATCGATGTTTCATCACACACGAATTGAATGATCAGGGGTGGAACTAAATCGACTAGCTATAAGTATTGCTCGCCCGTCGCGAGATCTTCCATGTCATCGACACATATAGAGGAGTAGAGGTGGTGCCTATTCTGATGCGATAATGCATCCATCCATCCACCGCGCGCACATACTCCGCCTCGCCGCTTCCACCCACGTTGCTTGCTCCTACCAGCGACGTAAGCCTCGCTCACGATACTGCGGCCTCCCGTCGCTCGGCCCGCGTGGATTCGACCCGCGCCGTCCCTCGCCACGCCCCATCTTGCGCACGTGCGCTGCCTCTGCTCTGCCCATCTCTCGCCCGCTAACAGAGTGTCTCCCCGGCCTCTTCCCCAACCCCCAACGCCGCTGGGTGCCTCGCCGCAGCCGGCCTAGCGATGGCCGCTGGGCGCACGTGTCAGGGCGCCGACACATGTGCCTCGGTCGTCCCTGGCCAAGCCAAGGACACCCACGAGCATGGCCGGATGCTAGTGGTGCTCGCGTACCGCTCCCACCCGACGCCCGGAATCGACCGGCCCAGACCTCCTCCCCTATGTTGCAAATGCATGTTTCAGGTGTTTCAGTCGTTTCAAAGGTGTGTTGCAATTGTTTCTCATGGATGTTGCAAAATTAGATCGGGGATGTTGCATATGTTATTAGCGTTTGTTCAAAATGTTTCATCTATTCCAGACGTATGTTGCACGTTTTGATCCGGATGTTTGCATATGTTTCACACATATGTTGCAATAACATGTTTCACACATATGTTCCAGATGTTTTATCTGTTTCTGACGTATATTGCAAGTGTTTTATCTGGATATTGCATATGTTTACAATGGCTATGTTGCAAGTGTATGTTCCAAATATTTCATCTGTCTTAGACGTATGTTACAATTTGAAAGGATCAAGATGCCCAAGAGGGGGGTGAATTGGGTTAATTCTAAATTTTCTTGCAATAATTAAATCCTATTGATAGCCCAATTAACCCCCTGTGCCTAGAAAGTGTTTGTAATGTTCTATCGCACAAAGAGACTTGCAATCTAAGTTCCAATCATACTCTAGCATGGCAATTCTAGGAATGTAAATGATAAGAATTAAATTGCTCAAAGTAATGCTTGAAGTAAATGCTCAAAATAAAGAGAGGAGAGAAAACGTGGCGATGTTTTGCCAATGTATCGGAGAGTCGCCACTCCCCACTAGTCCTCGTTGGAGCACCCACGCAAGGGTGTAGCTCCCCCTTGATCCGCGTAAGGATCAAGTGCTCTCTACGGGTTGATTCTTCGACACTCCGTCGTGGCGAATCACCCAAAGCCGCTCACAACTTGAGTTGGGTTACCCACAAGATCCGTCGGGTGATCACCAAGCTCCCAATCACCACCAAGTCGTTTAGGTGATGGCGATCACCAAGAGTAACAAGCACGAACTCTCACTTGACCACGCGAAGCCTAATGAGAACGGTGGATGCACACTTTGCTACTCTTGATTCACTAATGAGACTACTCTCTTGGATTCTCAAATCACAAACACCTCACTAGGACCTTACTCTTCTTGGCACTCACAAATGTGTTTCTCAGCTGTTGGAATGAGCAAAAGTACCCCCTCACACGAAGGGGTGAAGTATTTATAACAGCGGCTGAAAAACGAACTGTTATGAGCTTCTACGGGGTAACCGAACGCTCCGGTCATGTTGATCGGACGCTCCGGTCAGTTCAACCCGCGGATCAGTGTTTAAGTATACTTGGCCATGCAGCCCGAGGCCCAGTAGCCCGGCCCACGGCCCGCTAATTTGGCCCGACACGAGTCTGGCCCGGCACGAGGGTCTCTGGGCCCAGGCTGGCCCGGCACGCAGCTACAGGCCATGCCTGGGCCGTCGCGCAAGCCCGCGGGCTGGCACGGCCCGGCACGGTAATAAGCAAGCGGCCCGAGGTCGGCCCGGCAGCAGCTCCCGCACGGCCTGCTAGCGGCCCAGCGGCCAACGGCGCTTTGGCCTCCCCTTGCCATATAAGCGTGAGGCAGCCGGCGCCCCTCACAAACCCTAAACCTAAATCACTCGATTGACTCCTCTCCACTCTCCAGTCCACTGCACCGCAGCCGCCGCTCGCACTCTCGCCTACAGCCAGTCGCCTCGCCTCGCCGTATCCACTGTGCCGTCGTCGACCCCGACTCCGATGACCTCGAACCGCTGCCGTCGGCGTGCTCCCCACCCTCTCTACCTCTCCCTTCTCCCTCTACCTTTCTCCCCTCTAGATCTCGGTGATTATGTGAGTTTGTTGACCCTGTTTGTCCCTCCTCCGTCACTCGTCGTCCTTGCTGACCTTGTGTCGTCTTCTCTGGCCGCGGGGCTATCGTCGTCTTCTTCTCTGGCACCGGGCTCCGGTTGCGAAGGTAAGCACCTAACCCTAACCCTAACCGGCTAACCCTAATCCCCATCTTTCTTATTTTTTTGATGAGATCTCTAACTGATCTATTCCTTCCTCCTTCGTAGGTCGGTAGCCGATGCTTCAAGCTCTAGCTGCGGCATAGAGCGAGGAGCAAGGCGGCCACCCGCACCGTTGAGGTATGGTGCTGGAGAGGCGGCCATGGCTGAAGACGATGGTGAGCTTCCGCCTGGCATGGCCCCTGAGGGCGAGAACGACGACGACATCCGTGATGACGCTGCTGCGTTGTTCGGTGTCGATCTCGGAGACGGCGACGGTGGTGAAGGGGCGACGACGTCTGCGAACCCGGTCGGCTCCAACTCCAACGGCTCTGTTCCATCTGTTGCTGCTGCTGGTAATGGTAAGGTTGGTAAGCGCAAATCTCCTGTCTGGGATGATTTTGAAGAGATATTTGAGACTGTGAATGGAGTACAGATTTGCACTAAAGCTAAATGTAAAATATGTAAGTCAACCTTGTCTGCTAGATCTAGTGCTGGCACTGGTCACTTGAAGAGGCACCAGAACTCTCATAGGCAGAAAACTGATCAACGTGCTAGGGTTCAATCTAGGCTATCTTACAATCCTAATGGTTCTGTGCATAACTGGGATTATAAACCTGAGGTAGCTAGAACTGAACTCTGCAGGTTGATTGCTAGGCTTGATTTGCCTTTGGGTATTGGTGATACAGATGCATTTGAGGAGTACATTCAACGTGCTCATAACCCTAGGTTTCGTAGGGTGTCTAGACAGTCCACCACTAGAGACCTTCGTGCTCTATTTACTGAACGTCGTAATATGCTTAAGAATCATGTTTTGTCTGGTGCATCATCTGTTGCTTTGACATCTGACATATGGTCTGGAAATGCTAAGGAGGACTACATTAGTATAGTTGCTCATTATGTGAGTGCAGATTGGGAGCTACAGAAAAAGGTAATTGGCCTCAGGTTGATTGAGGTGAAGCACACGGTGAGAACATTTCTGAAAAAATTGCTTGTGTGGTTCAGGAATTTGGTATGATTGACAAGATTTATTCTGTTACTCTAGACAATGCTTCCTCCAATGCTAAGACAATGAAGACTTTGACACTCATGTTTGCATGTTATTTAGGTTCTGATCCAGCACCTACTCAATCAGATCCTAATAAGTGTAAATGTAATCTTATACATCAGCGTTGTGCTTGCCATATCATTAATTTGATTGTGAAATCTGGTTTAAAGAGATTTAAAACTTACACAGAGGATTTTAGAACTGCTATTAACTTCTTAAATTCATCTAATCATAGAATTGCCATGTTTAAGAATTATTGCAATGCTCAGGGTGTTAGACCTAGAAAGTTTGGTTTAGATATGGATGTGAGATGGAATGCTACATATCTTATGCTTAAACATTTGCTACCTTACAAGGAGGTTTTTTCTGTGTTCATTAATGCAAATTTTGGCTGCACATTGTTGACTCCAAGACATTGGCTCATTGCTGCCAAGATATTGGAGTTCCTGGAATTATTTTATGAATCAACATGTGTTTTATCTGGTGTTTACTATCCAACTAGTCCACTAATTCCGCACCATATGCTTGACATTGCTCATCATTTGCATGAAAGTGAAAAAGATCAAAATCTAATGGCTATTGTCTATCCTATGAAGCTTAAATATCTTAAGTATTGGGAAAATATACCTCTGTTATATTCTATTGCTTTCATTCTTGATCCTAGAGCTAAGTTGAGAGGTTTGTTTAATGTGCTGGTAATATTTAAAGAGAACATTGGTGTTGATTACAGTAAATATTATGCTGATGTTAAAACTGAAATTTACAAGATATTTGCCAAGTAAGACATCAAGTATGGTTCTACAAGGTCTCAAAGGCCTGCATATCCTGCAGTCAACTCAGGTAAGAGGAAATAAGCATGGGGAAGGATCTTTGGCGGCCTGGATCATCAGCGTTGTTGGTCCTCCTCCCCTACCTCTGTCTCCACTTCAACTCAATCTGCTGCCTCTGTTGCTTGTGAGCTCACAACTTATCTAGATAGTGACAATGTCACTGCATATGAGGATGATTTTAATTTGCTTCTCTGGTGGCGTGACCACAAACTAACATATCCTGTTCTTTCTATAATGACAAGAGATATTATGGCTGTTCTGTTTCTACTGTCTCTTGTAATCATGTTTCAGTTTAATAGGAAGGATTATTGAGGAGCGGCGCCAAGACTTCTGCCTTGAACATGTGGAGATGCTTGCTTGCATCAAGGACTGGGAGCTGGGTGATAGAAGACTTCAACATTCTGCTGACAACCAAGAGCTGGCAGAGTCCTTTGAGAATCTGCATCTTGATGTTCCTGAAGATGGATCTGGGCCTCCTTCGCTAGCACATCTGCAAGTGCTTCGTTGCTTCTACTTGCTGCTGCTACCGAGAGCTGAGAGTTGAGAGTTCAGCTTTGAGAGAGTTGAGATTGAGACCTGTGAGGCTTGAGAGTTGAGACATGATGCTTGTATCTGGTATTTGTATTGTGAACATTTGAACATTATAAGAGCTGTGATGCACTCTTTTTTTTTTCTGGGGTTTCTCACAAGGGTGAGTTTTACCCAAAAAGATTTTTAATGAGGCAGCATTGCACACAGCTCATTTCTATCTTTAAATCTCTGTCTTTTGTTGTGTTTGAGTCTTGCTATTAAGTTGTAAAATAGTTAAGTTGTTTTTGTGATTCTGTAAATGACTTGTCAAAATTATGAATGTCTTTGTTGATTAAGAATCGATGAGCGGTTTTCTACAATTCAGGTTGTGGGTCGGCATGGCCCGCAAGTTTTAAGCATTTGTCTGGACGGCTTCAATTTCAACCCGAGGGGCCGTGCTTGGGGCATCAGCAGGGCACGAGGCCCGGTAAGGCACGCAACACGGGGCACGGCGTCGTGCGTCTTACCGACACCACCTGCCTGGCCATGCCTGCCCGTGCCCATGCCGCGTCGAAGCCGGGCGGCCCGATGGCCATATATATATGTTTAAGTGATGACGGGACGCGTCCCGGTCACCGATCACTTCTCGGAACCTTCATCGAGTTGATCGACGACGCCTCCTCGTCCCGGGTCACTTGATTACCCTCCATATCCGGTCGCACCGAACGCAATCTCTTGATCAAATAAACTGATCGGACCCTACGGCCAGCGTCCGGTCGCACCGGAGCTAGCGTCCGGTCAGTATTTGACCCTCCATTCACCTTTAACTCTCGATCATGTGTGAATGAAGTTTGCTCCATTGGATCTTAGGCATATGTAGGAGCTATCTAGAGCTAGTTTAAACAAGTGTGCACCACACCTAACTCACTAGACTCATCTAGGTAAGTTATCCGTCCATACCCCCTTAATAGTACGACCAAAGAAAAAACAAAGTCCTAAACTACTCTAAGTGTCACTCTAACTCCAATCGACACTTAGAACTAGTCATCATTAACCTTGTCGTCCATCCTTTGAAAACCGAAACGATTTCTATTGTAGGGGCATGACCACCTCGATTGCTCCATCGATCTTCATTACCATGACCTAACTTAATTGCATCTGCAAAACACACGTTAGTCATAGTAATCTTGTATTGTCATTAATCACCGAAACCCAACAAAGGGGCATAGATGCTTTCACAATTATTTATCTGAGTGTTGTAAAAGTAGACCTCGATGCAAGGCTGTTGAGAGAGGAAGAAAGAGCTAGTGCAGGAGCCATGACGGCGTCGGCTGGTAAGCTGGCGGCAGCGCTCCATCGGAGGATGCACAGGGTCACGTCCGCACCGGCGCACGCGGCCCGTCCCTGTATGACCTGCTGTCTTCGCTGGCTCCACCGGAGGTCCTGGAGCATAAGCTTGTAGCACAGCGCGAGGGGATGCGGACCTGGCTATACAGCTTGTTGCGAGCCACGCCGCAGATGACGTGGGCGCAGCGAGGTTGAGACCCCCTGCGGTCGGACGGGCTCTCCTGCTACGCAGGCCTGGCGGGGACAAAATAGATGCGACGGAGCGACGTCCGGACGCGGGGGCCTGGCCGGACGTCAAAGCGTTACTGCATTCGGTGCGCGTCAGTCCTGAATGTGACACTTACTGGAAAAATATATATAATACGCAAAAGTAGTGGTTTGGGAAAAAGTAGTTTCATATTCCACTCGTGGGCCAAAAGTGTAGGGAGCAGGTCCTCACGGCCCAACTCACAGCTCCTCTGAAGTCTGAACCAGCCCGTCACCAGACCCGAAGCCGCGCCCCCTCCTGTTCCCGTCCGCGTCGGCGTTGCGGCGTCCGACGGACTCCCGAGTTCCGGCTCCGTCACTCGGAGCAGGGCAGCAGGGCGCAGGGCTGCAGGCGACTTGGCGTTGGCGAGCTCCGACCCCGGCGAGGCGGCGACCCCTGCAGGCTGCAGCTGCAGGGCGCAGGCTGCAGGCGCTTACTTGTTGCCTTGCTGAGGTAAAAACGTGTGCGGTCATCTTGCTTGCTGGCATCAAACCCCACAGCTAGAAAGCCTTACTTACTTGTTGAGTTGTTGTAACGTGGGCGCAGGTTGCCTTGCTTGCACGGCGGGCGGTGAGCACACGGCATGAGGGCGTAGTGATCGCGTTGGCAGGTGCTTACAATATGCTCGACGGAATGACTGAGCGCAGTTCCTGATTATAGGAGGTATGTGCATCTCTGTATCTATCATGAAGCTGTATTGCCAGCCTTTCCATTACTGTATAGCTACTTCGCAAACTAGCAGAGTTGCCTCGGAGGCAGCGACTGTCAACAACAACAACAAAGCCTTTTAAGTCCCAAGCAAGTTGGGGCATTCACGAAAACTCGCAAACTCGCAGAGTTCCGGCATTAGCTTGCTGCTCCTAGTTCCAGACATGCAATCAGTTGCAATACAGTCTTTTTGTCCTATCTTCCCCTTGGTCGACTTTCCATTTGTATGAAAAAAGTGGAGTTTGCCAAGTGACCACGAATCATTTATTCTGTAGATTATTTAGTGCATTGGAATCCTGTGCTATGTTTGAATTTGACTTAAAAATTACGAATTTGAATGTTGTTGAATTCTGTGTAGTAGAAACATAAACTTTGAATTGTTATGATGTGAAAATTGAGCACAAGGGAATAGAAATAGAAGAAATTAAATATAGGGGAAGAGGTCATTGGTAATCTACTAACACAGTGGCCCCATAAAGTGCTGGAAAAGTTTTAAGGTGCTTCCATAAAACAACTTCCAGGGGAGCACTATTGGTATGGAGTTGCTCTTATTCAATTTTTTGGGGGTTTCTGGACCCTCCATATCCCCTGGATTATTGACTTCACTTTGTTCTTCTTATTGTTGTAGGCTGTTATAATAGTAGGAGGTATGCACGCCTTGTAGAATCATACAGATGCTTGTTGAACATGTGCCTTCGCCTCTCTGTGTGTGTCAACAAGATGTTCTAGCATCAACAAGAGCCTCATTAGCATGTCCAGCTTCCAGACAAAGAGTAGAGAAATGGAAGACCATGGAAAATCAGATGGGTGGGATGAAGTTCTAGAAGAAGATGATGAGTTAGCGAGTGTATGCAAATATCCTATTAGCACCTCATTCCTTTCTTCTGGAACAAGCAGAAGTATGTATCTCATTTCCTGCATCTCCTCTTATAGAGATAATGTTGTGAGCAAAGGATTACTTTGTTTTGTTAAACTATACCAGTTGGATAATATAATGTGTGTCCTCTGTTTCCCCACTACAGGGAGCAAAAGTGTAAAGAAGCCTAAATTCTCATTATGAGGATATGATTTTGTTCCATTAGATGTGTTAAGACTGATAACTTGTGCACTGGGGGGCAAGAAGGTACCTCTGCGGTGCCATCAACTAGAGCTTCACAAACCATAGTGGCTGAACGGTTGGAAAATGTTGAGGACTTGAGGAACAAACTGAAGATTTGGCACCAGAGTTTGCCCTTCCAACCAAGAATGAAAATACTTCTGTCTCCGAGCTGCTAGATAATTTACGGCGTAGGAGTGGTTCTGTTGTCAGGACACCATCTTTGGTGTGTATTGTCTTGCATTCTTCTTTCATTTTTTGGAGTTCTTACACACACTTATGTTGCTTCTGAATATTTTAATCTAGTTGCACCAACATGCTCCAAGCATATCAATCAGGGAGCAGGAACTTTCATCCAGAGTGCCACCAACTAAAGCTTCACAAGCTTTGATGGATGAACCGTTCGAAAATGTCAATGGACAAACTGAAGATCTGCAATCAGAGTTTCCCTGCTCGATCAAGAAAGCAAATCTTTCAGTTGCAGAACTTCTAGAAGATCTACAAGGTAGAAGTGGCTCTTATGTCGAGACAGCATCTTTGGTGTGTTTCTTGTGGTGTTATTTCATGATTTGGGGTTCTCAGACAAAAATTAGCTTGCCTCTGAATATTGTAAATTTTATTGCAGTCACATCAACACACCAGAACTAAACATTGGAAGCCAAAACTCCTTTCTTCCGAGAAGAAAACACTAGCTATTCTAGGAGACAGGAGTATTGACAGTGAGGACCCCTTGGAGCATGTAATTGACGGAACATCTAGTGAGGAGGAAGTATGGTAACATAAACACTTGACTTTATATTAGTCGTTGTTCATTTGAAAATTGAGATACTCAACATATTTTTCTTTTATCCTGGAATAGGATGCTACTCAAAACCACTTGAGTTTGGTGAACAAAGATGAGAACCAGCAAACTATGGCTGACCTATTCCAAGAAGTTTTCAATCCAACAAACATGGATGGTGCCATGAATTCAATGAGATCAACAGGGTATAATAATCTTGAATTCTTTCCAAATCTTATTGAAATGACCATTTGCACTGGAATTCTGATTATTTATTGGTCTTGCTCTGTGGCAGAGCTGGTAACTATGGAAGAATGCAACAGATTATGCGGATGGAGAAAGATTGGCATGCGGAGTTCTTGAGACGGTATAGCAGAGAGCAAGGTTATTCAGGTGGTGCTGTTGGTAGCAGTTGGTAGTTGGTACCACTTATATGCTTTGGATTAGGCATCGTCTGTTTGTATACATGGATTTCAGAGATATTGACAGTAAAATTCGTAGGTGATTTAAAGGGCACTACTGTTCAGATCATGTCAAGGTCATTGGAAGGAAAGCTAACAGTCTGCAGCTGCATGTTCCAGGAAAAGAGCAATGTCTGTGCTCCATGCCTCCATCTTCGAAAAACTCCTATCTACTCATGTGGCAGTAATCTTCTTAAATTAAATAACATTTTGCTTCTCATGCTGCTAAGTTGAACAAATATTTTGGGAAAAAAATGTTTCAAGATGATTGTCTGTCACTTTCTTATCCAGAACAGTATGCTCTTTAGAAAAGTAATGTCTGAATTGACCAATTATGCAATGCTACAAAACTAAAATTGAAAGTTATTCTGCTGCATCTAGATGATCAGACAAAAGGTATCCTTTGTTGTAGCCATTAGACAAACATCTAATGAACTGACTCTTATGTGAACATAAACGATGTTTTACCAGCATTCTGCAACAGTGATGTTTTCATGGAACTTATGTTCATGCAGGATACCGCTATAAGTAATGCCTCAGCAGACAGCACCATAGATGAAAGCAGAACTAGGAGGACCATTATCTTCAGTCCAAAGATATGTGACAATGTGGATCTTCTGGTTGGAAACATAATTCATATCTTCCCACCATGGTATGATTCTCTAATTCGTTTATGTGTTTTGTTTCCCTGCTTCTGTTGTATACTCCCTTTTCTGTTCCAAAGAGGCATATGTACCTAATGCTAGATTGAACTTTTATCAATTACCTTAAAAAAAATCAACATCATGAATCAAAGTGGCAAGGATGAAAATGGTGCTAAATGATGTTATAGACTACTACAAGTAGAAGTGTTGTGGGGCAGACTCATTTTAAAAAGGTATGAGCGGTTTCTAAACTTGCACGAATGGTGTCATGAGTCCCAACTCTCGAATTTTAATGTTAAGTCTCTGAACTTGTATGGTGGTATCATCTAGGTCTCCAACTCTTAAATTTTGATATTTTGTTGCACTGGTCCAAACAGGCTGTGACCCGCTCATGCACTGACATGGCATGCTGACTATGTGTTGATGTGGCATGTTGGGTCCACATGTCAAGTCTATGTCGACACACAGTCAACATGTCACGCTTGGTCCAATGCTAGCGCTTGGGACAAGTATGGAGACCCAAGTATCAAAATGGGGACCCCGGATGATACCACGGTGAAATTTTAGGGGCCGCTCATGAATTTTACTCTTTAAAAAAGGCTTGACCACATAGTACCTAGTCATTCAGGTAGACTAAGGAAAACATTGAACTTTAACAGTGTAGTCTTGTTTGTGATTTGATTTTTTTTTTAATCATTGGTTCATGCTACACTATGATCTAGCATTTTGATTGGCTTGAATCCAAGTAACATTGAAGTTGAAGATAGCTGCGTTGCCTTGACAGGAAGGAAGTTAAAATACAAGAAGAGCATGTGATTATTTGCACCTACTTCTCGCACCTCCGGATTTGATACTCAGAGATTTTTCTGTACTAGCTGCAAAGCTAGAGGCAGACCGCAAGCATAACCGTCGCTGACAGCCTAATGTTGATGTACTCGCAGTGTCTATTCTGTTTGTTTTACAATCACAAGTGTACTGGCTGCAAAGCTAGAGGCAGACCGCAAGCATAACCGTTGCTGATAGCCTTGATGTATTTACAGTGTCTATTCTGTTTGTTTTACAATCACAAGTTCCTGAGCGGTTGATGTACTTGCAACGGCAAGAATAACCGTCGCTGGTAGTAGCCTAATGGTGGTGTACTCGCAGTGTCTATCCTGTTTGCCTACTTGCTACAGCAATCGCAAGAATATAAAACATTTGTCAGCAGGCAGAGGAGCCTTGCACTGTTCGGGCTTTTAAGGTCGTGAGTTTGAATAAGGTCGGGTAGTTTGAATCTATGCCTATGAGGCTGTTATTATCATTAAACTCTATTCTTCCACCGACGGAAATACATCTGATTATATATCATTATTAAACATAGCAAGTATTGACGTAAAAATCTATATAGCATTCCTCATTTAAAGAAGAATCAAATGAGTTCAGTACAACAATGCTCTATTGGCATAAAATCTATATATATAGCATTCCTCATTAAAAAAAATCAAATGAGTTCAGTACAACAATGAGATTCTAGATCCTGAACTACGCCTTTGAGGCGAATAACTTACACCATGATCAGAAACTACCGATGAAATCTTTTTGGCTCTACAGCATCTAATGTTCCTCGACACCCTACGTAGCCTTATCTTTTTTTGGCTCTACAGCATCTAACGTTACTCGACACCCTACGTAGCCTTATCTTTTGGTCGTCAAATAAAAACTGGGAAAATTTGAGCAACCAAAATTTATTCTCAAACTGCCTTCTTGTAGTATATGCGTAATGCGTCTTTCCGACCTGTTTCTATGGATTCTGGTACTCACAACTCGTCATGAGATTCAGGTTCTGAATCGCTAGTGTTGGCTGATGCAGACTGATCCTCTTCTCGAGCCTTAGATTCCTGAGATGTTTCGGTGTATTCACCCTCGTTGGGTGCAGATTCCGAAGAGGTGGTTTTCTCCTTGCTAGCAGGTTCTTCCTCCTTTGCTGTTTTCTTCTCAACCTTGGGTTTTGGTTTTGGAATCCTATTGACACTTGAGACCTGCACAATGAAAGAGCACACATTATACTTACTACCATGAGTAGTATGCATAACTTTTTATAGGGCGCTCTACCAAATTACTAACCTTATCTTGCAAGTCCAGAACTTTCTCATAAACTTCTTCAGATGTGAAAACTGGTGGGCTATAGACAGGGGTACTGCAAAATTTTCAACGGGAGTTAGCCACCTTTTACAAGACAATAAAAAAAAAGCAAGCTGACTCGAAAGGTATACTTTTTCTGCAGGTTTTCCTTCTCCTCCAACCAAGCTTTCACTTTCTCTGCTTCACTTACAACCTAGAACCAGAGCATTACACGACCAACAAAATGAGCATTACACATAATCACAAAGTCAACTTCATTAAGCTCACAGGTTTACCTCATCTATTCTCTTTTTGGGGAGCCATGGTTTGTTTGTGTCCCAGTTCTTGACAATCTGAAAAACCAAACGTGCACTGAATTAGAACAGAATAACACATCAACCATGCATTACATCGGTCGAACTGTTATACTGAGCAGTTCACAACATGGATAAAATGGATGTAAAACAACGGTTTTGTCCCCTGCTGTGGAATTCAGTGTATAGTAAATTTAGCCTTTTTCCTGCTTCCACGAAATTATTGATCAATTAATTTTACAATATAAGACAAGCATGTAGCAGCCGTGCAGGAGAAGCATGACCTGTACTTATTACTTTACAACAACTATTGCCTGAGAGAATCAAGTAGGACTGTCCCATAAAAGAAAGCAAAAAAAATTCAAGAAAAGAAAATTTGTTTAAATTGTCGCAATGTCAAGTTGTGCAAGAGGCAAAGCTTTTCTGTTTGTTGCACCATTCTTCCCAAGGTTTCTGCTTTAAACATTAGTAAGTGCCTTGTGTTCAAAGTGTACAAACCCAACAGAGTATTATATGATGCATAGATTGAACTATTCTGTTTCTTATGCGGAAAGTATCTCTTCAGATGCACTAAACATAATTATTTTAATTAAAAATCGCTATTAGGTTCTCTTGTTGATACCTTTTGCAGCTCATCAAGATACAATCGAGCATTTTCACAGGCCGCTGGTCGGGCTTTTAATTCACTCAATCTGGGTAATGGGAAAACAATACAATCTCAGTCATTGGTTCATATGAACTAAAGGGTATAAACAGTTAGTTACCTGAAAAGAATTGGGTCGCCAATGGCCTTAAGTTGATCAAGGCGCTCTTTGAATTCATTAGCTTGAGCATCTTCACCATCCATATATAACCAATCCTGCACCTGCAATTGTCATACAAACCAACTTCACTAATCACTACTTCAGCAGAAGACTTAATCGTCAACTGAGACTAAGAGCAAGATAAGCTTTAAACAACCTCACTAAGTTTCTCCGCAAAGGATTCCCTCTCCTGTTTGGTTGAGACAGTCAAAATATCTGTGCTTTCTTCCAGCTGTTATATATTAAATGTCAGCAAGCAGGCAGTCAATATTATACAAATAAGATGTGTAATAAAGAGTAAACCTTTGTTGCATTTTCAAGTTTATCTAGATAACAAGATTATCAGGGTAGCATTGAGTTTCAGTGAAAAATCAATACTCAAATTTAATATACATATACAAAGTAGGGATCACCCATTATCTGGGGTACGATGACAAAAATACATGATGTACATTAATGCTAAAAAGAAAATTTAAAAACCAAACCATCTTAGCAAAGTGTCAACAAAGAAAGCATAAAAAAATATACCTTCTCCTTCATAGAATATATGTATGACTCTAGGTTATTCTTAAGTTCAGCAGTTTTCCTCCTTTCAGCATCCTTCTTATCGAGTGCCTCTAACCTATTTTTTGCTTCAGAATACAACTCCTTCGAAAGAATTGTTCCAGCACCAGTCGTTTTTTCCACAACCTATATAAATAATTGTCATTAGAATTGAACTATGCTGTGCAAATATTCCCACCGAATTACTAGAGCAATTATAGCTTACCTTCAATGGAACCCTAAATGTTCTTTTCTTTAGCACCTTCTCTGTAATAATTTCTTGAGCATTATTACTCTCATCAGTGGAAGTGCTGGAATTAGTATCACTGCCAGAACTCAAATTTTCCTTACTATCTGTTGTGCTATTAGCTGCTCCTACTTCGGAAGATGAATTCTGATTGGTGATGTTACTCTCTAGAGTCAATATCTTCTTTGGAACTTCAACCCATTCAGTTATCTCAATTACTGCTTCTGCTCTATCAAGAGCAATAATTCCACTTCTACTCAAAGAAAAATGTAGATTTGCTTTGACGGGTGCAGATAAATTACGGTATGCATACCTGGTTGAAGAAAGGCATATGTTTAGTTTATGGAATAAAATTAAGCATACAGTGGGTACAAATAACAGAATAGCAATAAAATTACATTATTCAATATCAATTAATTCATGATAAGATTGAGCATTTTAGTTTGAATGATATCGGCATGGCAATAACATATATGTTTAAAAGGATGAATTACATTAAGAATGTTTAGTAATTTATTAGTAGTTTATGATCAAGACTTGAAGTTGAAAATACACAAAGAAGTATGGTCACTTACTTTTCACTGGCATCTGTCAGCCCTAATACGGAATACTCTGCAAACTTATGTGATGGAATGCCTGGAGGCAGTTCATAAGCTTTGTCATAGTTGAGAGAGATATCAAAGTCCTTGGTATGTCTGATGGACCTAAACATCTGTAGATAACAAATAGGTATTGAGCTATTTTAGATGTATCCTTCCAGATACATGATGAAGAGTTCGCCCACAATTTGAAGACAAAAGGAAAACAGCTTTACTAACCTTTATTGGCATTTTCTTCATTCTTGGCACCAAAGTTTGATCAATGCTTTCATCCTTGACATAACCCGGACCATCTATCTCAAGTATCAAAGCATAAGTAGAGCCATCAATCATTCCCAACTTACGGTTCAACTTAATCCCGTCACTCAGGTTAGCAGCATGAAGTGAGGCTCCCAGAACAATTGCTTCATCAGCATCAAGATGTTTATCCAGCTCACGTCGACCCAGAAATTCCTGCAGCTTAGCCTGTAGCAAGAGAACAATATTGTTGTCAGTGAGCCAAAAATGTAAAATGTTGTAGATCACACACCCCATTTGAAAAGTAACCAAATTAGGAATGATGGATTATATAAATATTGTATAAAAAATATTTTTCTCTAAACAGATAAGGAATGAAACTCTATGTGTGACCAGAAACAGTTTACAACCCTTTTAAGATCACGACAAAAAAGGATTAGTGCAAATGCAAAGCAGTTAAACAAATTTATAACGAAAAATTATTGGTTCAATAGAAGGGAAAACGTAAAAAGCAAATAGTAACATATGTCACATCCATGCATGTACCCATGTAATAATACTAGATTAATTTCTATAAGCGAGAAGCAGTTCAGAGAAAATGCTCAAAAGACTAAATAATTAGTATGCTGATTGCTGAATGCCATGACAGCTAATAGAATGAAGGGAAAGTACGTCGCTAGGCCCTGTTCGCTTCGCTGAAAAGCCATGGCTGAAAGTGCTGTTCGCTAATTTGTTGAGAGATGAAAACACTGTTCATTCGCTGAAAAAGTACGGCTCATAAGACAAGCGAACACTGGTGCTGCAAAAAATCTAGTCTGGTACTAATTTCAGTAAGATTTTTTCTATTACAGACACCACGAAGATGCTTCTAGCCAATAGATATATAAAAGAAGTGATTTTCAAAAGCACCGCAATGACAGACAGAGTTTAAGTAAAAAATCTAAAAAGATAGCCAAATTTATTAACCTGCAATTTTGGAACCCGGGTAGCTCCTCCTATTAGTTCTACAGCATAGATATCATCAATCTTCATCCCAGAATGTGTCAGCACTTCTTTAACTGGAGTTAGAGCTTGCTCCCATAAATCTTCACAGAGCTCTTCAAATTTCTCACGTGTTATGGTACTCCTGTAACAAAAAAAAAATGCATAAGCTCAGTAGGTAACACAATGAAAATTGCCACGACCGTTATTTAAGGCCACAAGCTCACTATACAGGGTCTAAACCAAGGAAAGCTGAAAGCATAAGCTAGGGAAAAACCGAAAAAACTCAACCATTAAGACTCTCTCCATAATTGACCTGATTATTACAGAACACAATCTCCAAGTCTCCATATAAAACACTTCAACAGCTGACATGGAGTCGATTAAGAAGTAGCCCAAGTGATCCAGGACTGACACACAGCCTTTGTTTGCAATTCTAGTAATCTTTATTTAGATGAGATTGCATCGATGTACTTCAAAAGGGAAAAAATAATCAGATTTAATCTGACACATGTCAAGACAATTGGACAAATACGATATCTTTCATCCATGCAAACTCCAAACCTAGCAGGTCAGCTACCAGCACACCTTTAATCAGAGTCATAGTTCCATTCTTTCCGGAACAATTTTAAGCTGACAAATTAGGTTTGATAGTAAATTTTGCAATGTTGGGTGCATTTTCATTTATCTTGATTCTTGACCTTTTTACATGCTGCATCCATATTTCTTGACCACTTGTTATGCGTTTACAGTATATAAGATAGAGTAGAGATGCACCTGAAATCAACATCATTATACAGAGATTCTACTGAAATTGGAGCTGCAGTGTTTGCACTAAGAATTTCTTTGGTGCGCTTAACTTGCTTTTTCAACTTAGCCATTGCCTTGGGAGACTGACGGATATCAACCCCGTTACCAAGCTGCTTATTGAATTGATCAGCAAAATAGTTGACCAGACGCATTTCCAATTCAACGCCTCCAAGTTCAGAGTTCCATCTAACGTCCTTAACCTGCAGACAATTAGTTTTAGCAATATATTGTTCTGGAGTTGTCACTCATCATCTCACATAGCAGCACAGCTCAATAAAAGAAAAGCATATTTTCATCAGATCTATCATACTAGCCATGAGAAATACTTTCCTCAGATTGCCATCAGACATCTGAGAGAGGCGCAATTGAACAACTACCAGAAATGCCAAGAGAGAGGAATTCACCTGGAACTGGTTAACGGACACTGTCTTCCCGAACTCCTTGGCGCTGTATGCCGAGTAGTACACTAATGCAGCGTAGGTGCTACCAGCGCCCATGTCGTAAAAGATGACATGCCGCGACGCATTGGAGAAGTCCTTGTCGATCCCGTACTGAAGCGCGGCCCCAGCGTGCTCGTTGATGAGAGAAAGCACGTTGATTCCAGCCAGCTGTGCGGCCTGCGTCAACGCCCGGCGCTCGGCCTGCCCGAAGTAGGGCGGCACGGCGATCACCGCGTCCCGCACGGGCGCCCCAACATGCGCATCGGCGAGCCCCGCGGCGTAGTGAAGCACCATGGCGACGATCTCCTCGAGGAAGTATACCTGCCCGTCATCGGCACGGACCGCGGCGGCACCGCGCGCGTCGGGGACGAGGTCGTAGGGGAGGAAGAGCGACTCCGTGACGGACTGCACGTAGGAGAAGGGCTTGGCCAAGAGGTCCCGCGCGCGGGCGAACACCTTGGACGGGTGCCGCGCCATGATGCCCGCGGCCTCCTCCCCAGCGAGGCGATTGCCGTCGGCGAGCGCGGCGAGCGCCGGGGACTTGCGCTTCGACATCTCGTTGATGGCAACAGCGATCGGAGCACGGCCCGGGGCAAGATGCACAGCCGCGATCTTGAGCCACTCTGAGCCGAGGTCGATGCTCGCCACCGCCGCGGTCGCCGGCGGGACGGCGACGGCCGCCGCGACGAGGACGGCGAGGAGGATTCCCCAACTGCGGGGCTGCGACATGGCGTGTGGCTACCGGCTGCCGCTCAGTGCAATGGCATGTAGGAGGGGTTAGGGTTCGGAGATCTGGGGTGCGGAGTGGCTGGAGGAGCACGCGGGGGAAGGGGAGCAGAGGAGGGGAGAACGATCTCGACTCTCGAGGACGGGAAGGAGGTGCAGAGGGCGTGCCACTGCTATATTTTGGATTCGACTTTTCATCGTCTTTGTTCGTTTTATTGCAATTAGAGATTTTGGCTACGGGCCACTGTATGCTTTCAGAATTTTGTAATAAAGCTTTGCCAACAAGGAACTTTTCTAAAATACATGAATTAGTAGGTGCCTAGTACAAATTTTACCGAAGAGCAGGACCGGCGCGAATTGAGTCATCAATCCAATGAAAACAGGCCACGTGGAAAAATATCCACGTGGCATTTCACGGCTAGCGCGGTGCGTTGGACACGCGAGAGGTGGTTACAAACTGCGGCAACCGCCAAGCTACGCGTGGCTCCTCGAAGTCACTGACAAGTCGACCATGCCTGTGCTGCATACTGCAAGTGGACGACTGTAGCGAAGACTGAGGAGAGAGGCCCCGGTTGCGGAGTGATTCTTGATCAGTTTTGCTCGTTCTGATTTCATTGGATTTCTAGAGCGAGCAGAACGAAGAGCCGATGATAATTGATTCCGTACAGGCCCCTTTTTGCTTCGCTGAAAAAATAAGCCGAAACACTGTTCCGGCTGATTTGATGTGAGAGAAAAATACTATTCCGGTTAAAAAACAAGCTGAAAAAGACGGATTATAATAGAAGCGAACAGGATCATAATAGGGAGCAGACAAGTTTTTTTTAGCTCCTAGCTCCCTCTATAAATGAAGAAGTGATTCCCTCCTGATCGTTACTCGAATTACTTAACATTTTGAGCGCTTGGCTGGTTGACAATGATGCTCTTCAGAGACGATAATGCTGGCATATGAGCGTTTGTCCAGGCGTGTTCCATCCGGACGGCTCGTTCCCGGGCCTGTCCAACGATCGGGCCCAACATGCTTCCTCCGCTTCACCTTCAGTACGACGCGGTTTCTCCAAAAAAAAAGCGGCATTTCCTTTCCTATTGCCGCACGCATACGATCGGCGCAGGAGCATCCACCGCGTCGCTCGCTCACCGCTGGCCTTCTCCACCGACCTTCCTGCTCTGAACGCCGCCGCCGCCACTCACCTCGCCGCCGCTTGCGCGCTATCCCATCCCGCCGCTTCGCTCCGCCATCCATCGCGGCGCCGCCACCCACTGGCGAAAGCCAAGCCCGGTGCTACTAACGATGGTGGTAGTGGTGGTGCTCGCACGATGTCGGCTCCGACCTCGACGGCTGGAATTGCCTGCCCGGGTCTCCCTCATGTTGCAAGCGCATGTTTCATGTGTTTTCAGATGTTTCGAGTGTTTCATGCGGATGTTGCGAAAGTAAATCGGGATATTGCATATGTTGCAATACTTGTACACGTATATTGCAAGTGTCTCTTTCCAATGTTTTATCTATTTTTTTCAGACGTATCTTGCAATTGTGTTTATCTAGATGTTGCATATATTTCACATATATGTTGCAAGCGTTTTATCTAGATGTTGCATATGTTTGCAATTGTTTTTCAAGTGTTTTTCATGTGTGTTTTGCATGTGTTTTCAGGCGCATGTTTTGAACGTTTCAGTTCTTTCGTACGTATGTTGTAATTGTTTCATTTCGATGTTTCAAAAGTAGATTGAATGTGTTGTGCATGTTGCAATGTGAGCCAATTGCCGCATCTGCCTGCTGCAGCTGCTGGGCAACGTGCATGGAGGGGAGTGGCGCAGCATGTGTGGAGTGGCGCGAGAAGCAGGGAAGCGTGGGGGAGTGGCACAGGTGGGCCCCACCTATGTGTGCAGCAGGTGCGAGCGTCCGGGCGCTGGTGCTGCCGCTTCGGAGAAGCTCTCCCAAACTGCCTCTGATAGAACATACTTCCTCTCTCTCAAAATAGAAGTCACTATTTCATTGGTTGTGGTCTTTAAAATTATACTTTCATCGTTATTTTTTTTATAATACAATCTATATATTATATATTCTATAAGAAAAGTTTGATCATTAGGAAATACTCTATTTGTTTCGGATTGTAAGGTCTTCTTTAGAACGTAAGAATTGTATAGAAATTTTACAAAAATTAGCTTGTTTTTTATAAAAAAAATAGGAGTTGAAAAAAAATCTCACGTTCAAAGGGGGCCTAAGTCTTTTTGGCTTTTCTATATACTCCCCACATGTCTTCGATTTTATGCCATATCATCTTTTATTGAATATTTGGATCTAAATAATCTTAAACAGAAACAATTTTAACTAGAAAGTTTTAAATGTTGTTGATCGCAACAAATTTAGTATAGAACGTGTCTCCATCCGAAATCATTTGAAATTTAAAAAATTAGATTTCATAATCAGATAACTTAAAACAAAAATTAGACCTCTAAACAATCTCAAATAAAAATTGTCAACTACAAAATTATAAATCACGCTGAGATCTACAACTTTAGTATAGATCATGTTAACATCAAAGATTATTTGAAAAATAAAAAAAATCAATTTCAAAATTTGAGAACTTAAATGAATACTTATGCCTCTAAACAACCCTAGATAAAAATATTGTCAACTATAAAGTTGGAGAACATATTGAGAGCTATAATCCTAGTATAGACCATGTTGACATCAACAGTCGTTTGAAAAATTGAAAGAAAACGAATTTCAAAATCCAAGAATTTAAAACGAATATTTATGCCCCTAAACAACCGCTCATAAAAATATTATGTCAGCTATAAAGATGTAGAATATATCGAAAGGTACAACTTTGGTGTAGATCACAAGAACATAGGTCTTTAAAAAAACAAAAAAAACTCAACTACAAAGTTAAAGATCTTACTAGGAATTACAACTTTAATATAGACCATGTTAACACAAGTGGTCTTTGAAAAAATAATAAAAATTTTAAATTTAAAATCTGGTAACTTAAAACAAATATTTGAGCCTCTAAAATACCTCAAATGAAAAGGTTATCAATTATAAAGTTTTAGATCATGTCGAGCTCTACAATTTTGTTATAAAGTTTGTATTCCTACAGCTTTGAAAAAGTTATGTTTTTTTACATAAGAGAGAGACACCACCAAGTGAACAAAACCATCTAATAAATCACTTATAAATGGTTTAAGGGTTGTCCAGCTTTAAAAGTAAAGATGTATATGTTATCGAGTATTAAAGTTCAAGGAGGTCCTTCAAAATCAACAACTAATTCCAGAAGGGGAATCGGAGTCTAGTCAAACCAGGAGACGTTAAGGATCGTCAAAGGTCAACTTCTAATGAAATCATGCTGCATACATTGCGCATTCTTATCTTGTACAGGCATACACATTTCCACCTCAGGCCTTGTTCAGTTAATCTTCAAAGTACATGTCTCAGGAAAGCAGTAGGGATAATTTCAGAAAAGAAAATATTCATTTTGTCATTAGCAATAGCTATCCATAGTACATGCCTCGCTCGCCAGATGGCATACCAACTTTGCCTACGCTACGATCCTACTAGCAGTGCTGTTATATATACATGCAAACTAAGACTGCCTTAGAAGGGCCATTCACAGAGATCTATCTGAATACCTCACGGTTGCACAGGTCAATCTCCAAGAATGCACAATGGCTGCCTCATGCTGAGCTCCACCTTCAGCCGTGGATACAATGCTAGGTCGTTGCTTGCCACCAGCACTTTCTGCGTTGATAACCCAAAGAATGTTACAAGACAGTCGGCTCAATATAAATGGAAACACTTTATGAAATATCTTTTAGAAAATTCAAGGGAAGAACTTACCAGAGCGGCAAGATGGGCCTCTTGTAAAATACCGCCATCGATCTCCAATCTAGCTATTGGAAATTCCGGAAGATGACCAGATTGCTTTTTGCCTAGTAGATTGCCAGGGCCACGGAGCAGCAGGTCTGCGTTAGCCAGGTAAAACCCATCAGAAGATTTTTCGAGCACCTTCAACCTTGGCAGTGTGCTCGAAGTGGAAGCCAGGAATATGCATCTGGATTTCCTTTCACCGCGGCCTACTCTCCCTCGCAGCTGATGCAGTTGAGCGATTCCAAACCTCTCGGCGTTCATGACAATCATCATGGAAGCATCAGGAACATCGACCCCGATCTCAATCACCTGTGTTGAGAGGAGAATGCGTGTTTCTCCGCTTCTAAAACTGGTAAGAGTTTCTTCCTTCTCATTGCTCCTCATGCGGCCGTGCAATAGCCCACAGGGATAGCCTTCGAATTTTTTCTTTATGGAATCAAATTCAGCCGTTGCAGCACGGAGTTGTGGCAACTGCTCGGACTCATCTATGATAGGATACACAAGGTAGACCTTGCCCCCATCTATCAGTTCATCCCTCATCATCTGCGGATCATGATAAGATTGAAACGGAAGACATAAGAAAAGCGGAGCTCACTGCATCTACATACACACAGAAGAAACAAAAAGATTTAGGTCCAACAAAAGAAACAAAAGGCAAAATCATGTCATCACCTGGAAGACAGTTTCAAACCCAACATCATTTCCTTCAAGAGCAAGCGTTTCAATAGGTTGCCTTCCAGGAGGCAAGTCCGTAATCTACAAGGAACATGATGTCAGATGTGAAAAACTATAATACCTGTGAATATGAAATTTAAAGATGCAGTAAACCAACGTTTGCATAAACTCCTAAATCTGATTTGTTAAATTTTGAAGTAGCAGGTCCCTAGCATCAGGCAGAATGTGCTACTGATTGTTTAATAATAAATTTGTATTAGTCTAGAATTAGTCTAGCTTTATGTTTATTTTGGACGTGGTACCTATGTACTCCCTATACGTTACATGGAAAACCAACGTATCTGCAGCAGCGTACCTGAGTAAGAGACATATCACCATATAAAGCAAGTGCCAATGTTCTTGGAATTGGGGTAGCTGACATCGCAAGAACATGGGGAGCCATAAATGGTTCAGAATCAGAAGT